TGTTGTCCCCGCCCTCTTACCTTTCAGCCAATCACACGCCCTCATGAGCTAGCAAGCTCAACAACTGCTACTAAATTTAGCCAGTTAGCTCCTGTTAGCGAGTGCTAACTACAATGCTAACGTTGCTATGAATGTACCAACTAGAGGCTGCTGTTGTAAATAAACACAGTACACAAACGCAGTTAGTAAACATTTGTAATTTTTAATCCTTAGCTTAACAACGCTACTGATGCTACCTACCTAACATTAGCTGGCTAACTAGGCTAGTTTGTGAGTCTGTATTATTAGCATCAGCATCAAAGTGTAAAGCCAGTATTAGCAGGGTTAGCTAGCTCATTTGGGCTAGACTACAGAGAAAGAACATCATTAGAACCAAAACATGGGTATCTTTTAATTAACAACCTGACGTTAATTCACTTTTTTATTAACATTTTTAAATGATTTGTACTACTCTGACCTTGATGTAGCTGAAAACATTTCCGACTCCGACACAGCTTTTAATCATTTTTTACACAACTTTTAACAATTCAATAAACTCAACATTAAAACACTTTTCTATCCGGTTCTCCCAAACATATTGTAAGAGATGCAGCTTTGAAGACAGACAAGATCATCAATCATCTGACTGACTGGCTGAATTTCAGGCATCAACGGAAAACTGTCAAAAACTTATTATAAAGGCCAAATCTGATTTTTGCAAATAACTCATCGGAGTTTTGGAAAATTATCAAAACTCTGCCTCGCATATCAAACAATTCATGTGTGTGAAGGTTTTCACCATCATTTAATTTCTTCTGTCAATAGATTCACCAAACTGTTCACTACGACTACCTTCAGTGCTGGCTCACCATCTGCTGCTTCTTTACCAAATATTTTTTGTTGATGAATTTACAGTCAACAAATCTAAGTTGGGGACAATTAAGAGCACATGTTTTACATTTTTAACGTATCATTTGCATCAGGAAAAATCAGAAAATCTGGAAGTCTCTACAGGTTATCCCATCACATTAAGGTGATGATCCGAGTGATTAAAAAAAATCACCAAGCAATCTCAAAATTGTCCTGCTCAGCGGAATTGTAATTGACAATATTACAGAAGCCTTGAGTCCTATTTACTCAGATCAAACAAACCCAGCAGACCGTGTCCCAAAGTGTTAAGTTATTTTGAAGTTATGCAGGTTTTTTTTTTTGTACTTTTGTTGTGTTGTTTACGTTTTACAAGCAAGTCTTTTGGTTTGAATTTACAACGTTAGCCACGCGTTTACTGAAACACGTTAGTATGTTGGGTTATCTCCCTATGTTAACTGTTTGGTTTATTCATTTATCTGTCATTACATGCTTTGAGAATTGTTATATCAGGAGACTTTTTTCTTTTTGTTAAAAGTGTTTAATTTCTTGTTCCATGATTTATTTGATATTAACTCTTTTGGGCTCCATACCTTTTATGTTCCCAACTTTACCTCTCACTTAATATGCTCTTTATCTGTTGCTCATACCTTTAACAACATACGCTTTATATGCTGATAACCTAAAAATCGTGGCTATGTCTTCAGGCCTGTGTGCTTGATGTAAAGTTAAGATTTAAATGGTACCACTTAGAGTCAGCGGGCCCAGTATGGAGCGTCAGACACCTACAAGGTCGATATGAGCAGCGTGGCCCCTTTAGGGACACACATTCGTACCAAAATGGTGTTAAGATTCACTTTGCATCGAGTGTTGAGCTTTTGAAACACGTCGAGACTGCCTGGCTCATTAACAGAGGCGACAGAGCGGACCCTTGAACAGGGCCGGTGTCAGAGGAGAGCAATTCCCCTCTGCACCAGAACTGGGGCAGACATTTTGGTTGGTGCTCTGAGCTAAGCCAAATCAAGACCCACATAAAATCCCTGATTGAAAGACGAAATATAGACCGACTAGATACTAGAGAGAGAATGTGGGGCAAATATCTGTGATGCTAATCAACCTGACAATTACAAGGCGAGTGCTTTCAAGAGGCTTCCCACAGCGAGTGTAAAGTGCTGTATTACTTTCCCTGTGTCATTGTTTTGTGCTGTTGGCGTGGAAAGCCACCGCCGAGCTCGAGATCTCTCAGCGTCATTCATTATTTCATTCTTCTGTCGAAATACAGTCTCATTATTCTCCAGCCATTGTCGACCCCGGCGTTACCTGTCAGCGCTTTTTTGCTGAGGCCAGCTTTGTGCACTCGGAGCTGTTAAACGCTAATGGACGATCGCTCTTCCCTTTGTGCTCAACATGCTATCTGATGTGCCGTTTTGACTGGCAGAGGAATGGAGGGGCCAATTTGCAAATGCTGACTTCCAGAGCATCCAGTGTGGAAAGACATTCATCAAAAGCGTCGTGCCCTTTTTCATGTCTCCTTGTCATATTATCTGTGCAGCACTGTCAGGGGCGTCGTGGAGTTGATCACATTTTATTTCTAAGGCCCGCTCGAGTAGGTCGCATGACTGGTGTAAAGTATGGCTGGGCAATTAAAGTCCACTTCCTCTTCCGTCTGGGATGTAAAATTACCAGCGAGAGATAAAGAACAAGTCGAGAAGGAAAAGTATAAATCCGCCAGGATTCATTATTGGAATGACTTTTGAATCCACCTGTAATAATGAGGAGCGACCCAGTGGCCAGAATCTTTTTTTTAGCATCGTATGTTTCCGCAAACCAAGGATACGCTGGACGACGTTTCTGAAACAAAACGTGGTTTCATATCAGCCTTGTATCACGGTTGCAGAAACGCACAATGCCTACTCGAGAATCTAAAATCCTTCCTACAGTATTTTATATTAGATATGAAAAAAACAACAACTTTATGGAGCGGATTTTCTTTGTTTCTTCTTCCCTAATTTATTCATCATCTGTATGATTGATCGTTGTCGTCACTGCTGTCGCCATTATCATCACGTCCTCATCGTCACCCATCGTCACTGGTAAAATGCAGAATTATAGTCGTTTTCTGAGCTTATGACCACATCTCGTTCGCAAATGAAACTGGCCCATCTGTCATCGAGGTGTGGACCTTCAGTCATGTGACAACAGGTGGTTGTTAAAGGGTATCAAACATGGTCCTTGCCATCAGATGTAATATCTATGTTTGAAGCAACAGGACACTCCTTTACAGACAACCTGCTTGAGGAAAAGCCAGTATTAACGTGTGCTGTGAATCCTAACATTATTCAGAATTATAGTGAAGATAATAAAGCTTCCAAAAACGCTTCAGGAATACTTTTTCAGACCCTTTTTTGGCGGAAAAAAGGGTCTGAAACGATGCACAAGACATTGAGAACATATCCAATGTGTGAAAGGAACAGCCATAAAAAAACATGAAGTCTTGTGTAAACATCGTGTAGCTTCAACAAGGAGCTGAAACAAGAAAAATGGAATATATTTGATACTTTCAGACAGTGGGGAATTAGGGAAAAAGATGGTTTTACCGCCTGTAAAGCAACTGAAGTTTAAAATTTATCTATTTGATAAGGTGACAAGCAGTGATGTCATTTCTTCTTTCAGCCAATCACATGCTCTCTGCCTCTTGAGTAAGCTCAACAGTTGTCATTGGGCTACTTTTACGTAATTGTGTAGGTAAAAATTGTTTTGGGCTATATGTGATTATTTTTACATTCATCAGTGTAATAACTTCAATGTAGTTAAATGTCGCAGAGAACAGTACGTATAATCACCTTGCCTTATGGGGCGACATGAAACCCCTCTGCCATAAAAGTAATAACAGCAGACCTCAGTCAAACAGCATTCACCTTCATCAAATAGCACTCCGCCGACTAAGACAAATAAATCTTGGCAGTGGTTTTTCGTCTGGACACCAGATGGATGAGCTTTGACACGCCGGATAATAACTGAGTGAATGAGGACAGCGGAGTTGAGGCAATGACAGCAAAGTATTTGAAAGTCAATTTGATATGGTTTCCTTTCGCTGTCAAATTACCTGTCTGGGATGTTTTAATGTGGTCATTTTCACCATCTGGTACAACCAGATTCACCAGATTCAAACACATTTGTGAATACGATTAAACCTCCATCCAAAAATACTGGACCTTAATAATTTCCACTCCCAGTTTTCGCCTTGTAATGCCTTTGTGGCGATGAACTGTTGCGTCATGGAAGGAACGGATGCGTTAACTGATCTATAAATTAAATGATGGTTGATGTTGGATGAAACAAGAAGACGTGTCCGATTCTCAGTCTTTGGAGGAAAATAAAGGATAAAAGCTTTTTTTTGGTCAGATGTTTGAATTCAATCTACAGAGGGAGCCGGGCTTCTTCACAGAAGCCGCCGTATTTCTACAGTAGCCCAGAACGGACAACCCAAAAACTGGCCCAAATAGGGCCAATTCGAGTTTTTGAAATTTGACATTTGTAGATAAATGTTTCTACAAACATAAACTGTAAAAACAAGTCAATAGTAAAGGTGCTAAATTTGAAAGTCAGAGCATTTCTATTGCCTCCACATGGCGACGGCTGAGCCGGCAGCTTGAAGAGTGCTATACTTTAGCATTATCAGCTCTTTAAATACACAACAGTTATTTGCTGCTATAATCATTCTCTGGATATTGTGAAGAGAACCTTTGAAGTCAAATTTCAGGAAAAACCTAATTTCTGATAGAAGTCAGAATTTTGTGTTTAATATCAAAACTTTTTCCCCATAGCTCTTTACATACATCCAGTAATAACTCATTTTACTTTAAAAGTCAGAATAACAAAATTCCCAATTGGCATCAGACCTTTTTGAAGCAACCAAATCCTTTTCCACCTCCCCCTCGGCACTTGCATGCATGGCATTTGATTTATAATTCTAAAGTAAACCAGCTTGGGCAGGTTTTCACATTTCCCTGAACACACACACACACACACACACACACACACACACACACACGTGAGTGGATCCAGCTTGTGTGCGCGCTGATGCGTAAATGTACACCAACAGCAGCGCCTCGCCTCTTGCAGACAACTTCTACAGTGTTATCTTTCTGTTTCTTTTTTTTCTTCCTCCTCCTCCTCCGCGAGTTATCGAGTGAAGCATATGACCAAAAGCAGAGGGGGGGGGGGGGTGATGCCGATTGATAATTAACTGAGGTACCGAATTGGTGACGTGTGTGGAGGGGTGACGAGAGAGAGGGAGAGAGAGGGAGAGAGAGGGAGGCGGGCCGGAGAGGAGAGAGAGGTCTTGCCTCTTGTCTTGCTGAGGCTCTTTGATTCAGTGGCAGTGGCTGAGACAACCCCGTTACCGGCCACCGTTTACCCGGTAAGTACTGCTCATCTTCTGTCTTTTTTATGAGTTCATTCATTCTCAAAGAAGAAATATAGAAGTTAAAGCTCCGTTTCCACAAGTCGGATAAAAGAAAGTTCATGCATAAAATCGAGGCGAATGAGGCAAAGAAAAACGCTGCACGGTGGCATTTGTTCCTTCTTGTGCCACTAAGGAACACGACTTGTGTCTGTTCTCGAGTTAAATAACCCGTTTTTTTGTTCAAAGAGAAATGAAAATCACAAAAAGATCGAACCTTTTTTACTTTTTGATGCTGAAGCGCTCCAAACATCCAAATGGAAACTTGGGCGCTGTCCGTGGTGCTGTAAGTGTTCGCAGGTCTAAACAAATCTAGTTCCCCCCAATTATCTATCAAACCTGCTTATTAATAATAAGGTTTCTCAGGGATACTTGGCCATGACATGAAGTCATTTATTACAGACTAAATCCCTCTGTACATGCCTCTCTTCTCCACAGCGTAACTACGAGCTTCGATCATACGCATGGTGAAGACTTCCGTGGAGGACATCGCGTCTTCATCTCTGTAGACGAAATTAAAAAAGGACATTTTGTCCAAAGCAGAACTTTTATAAGAAAACCCGATTCACGCTGGACGACAGCAAAGTCAGAAGATGCTTTGCGTGTCCGATGAGCGCAACATCTGCAAGTCCGTCAGTGAGAGCTTAGCACACAAAAAGGAGTAGCCTACCTGCGATGAAGAAACCCGCAAGAAGCTCCACGCGGTAAGAAGTGGAAGAGAGACACTGAGAGGGAAAGATCAGACGGAAGAGAGTGGCGGTCAAAGAACAAACACCAGCGCGTCCTCAAATGATGGGGATAAAGCACCTTCTGCTTCTTTTGATTTACTTAGACCCGCTGAATGTGCTGTGCGCCTCCGCCACCACCAACAAAAAGAGCAAAAACCCGCCGAGGAGGAACCCAAAGGTGAAGGAGGTCAACGGCAGCACCACCGCGGTCCCGCTGGCCGTTGCCGTCCCGGGGAAGATCACCCAGGTCCAGGCTCCCACGGTCCAGCACGACACCTGCATGGGCTACTACGACGTGAGCGGGCAGTACGACAAGGAGTTCAGCTGCAACAACACCGACCACCGCTTCTGCTGCGGCAGCTGCTTCCTACGCTTCTGCTGCGCGGACCGGGGAAAGCGGCTGGAGCAGAAGAGCTGCACCAACTACAACACACCGGACTGGATCAAGACCCAGCCGCCGTCGCCGGCGCCGACAGGTGACACGTACGACCCGGAACTGGACCAGACCAACACCACGGTGTACATCACCTGTGGGGTCGTGGCGCTCGTCATCGCCATTGGGATTTCTGTTAAAGTTGCCTATGATAAAGCCACCAAGCCCCCTCAGGAAATGAACGTGCACAGGTAAGTCTGTCCTTGGTTTTTTTTCATAGATGATGAAAAAGCATGACAACATGTCTAGAGCATAGGTTTCTGTATGTCAGCCTTAAAGGGACAGTTAGTTATACATGAAACTGCTCACAACAAGGTTTGTGGGTTATCGTGAGTAACCGGGTTATGATTTCTGGAAAGAGACATTGCTGTTGAGTTTTTCAAATATATATCTTTCAAGCCGAGTGTCAAATAGTCCCATCATTTTGGAGACATCTATACAGCTGATATCTCCAAAACTAAATAGCACTTCAGGTAAGAGCGGTTTTGATTTTGGGGTGAACTGTGCCTTTAAGACGCAAACAGGGATAAACCCATCATGTATTCCTGGAGCTTTGTGTCAAGTGTGGTCACTGCATTGTTTCTCATTTTAGCAAGAAAACATGTTGAATTGATCTTCATTTATAAACTGTAGAGAAATACTGTCACGTAACGCTGCATGTGTTCAGCTGAACTCATTTTTCTGTGTAAAATCCTGACCGACACGACTCAACTGACTTACAGCGGCCTACTTAACTCCTGGGCTCAAAATCACGAGTTCAAACAAGCCCATGACCTTTAACACAGTGCCATTACACTCCTCCCTAGAGCTTCCCGTTCACAAAAAATAAATCTAGATTGTAAGCCTTTCTATGGTACACACATGCCATTCAATCTCAGGAGGGGGAGCGGCTGGTGTTCGGCATCCGTTCAACCCGAGAGGGATAAAAGTAAATGCCACTGAAAGCCATTATGATCGTGTTCATCCTGATGGGAGTGGTCTCTTCAACAATGACTGTATGTTTAAATCCTCAAGGCACCAGCAGTGGTCACTGAATTGCTCGATGAGCGTTAAGGCAACCTAAATACCCATCCTATGGCAATGTATATTATATATATATATATATATATATATATATATATATATATATATATATCCAGAGAGCCTCGTCGGTTTTGAATTAAGTCTGTCTCAATGGATTTACACTAAATCTCCTCTGTGGCCCCAAAAAACAACTCAAAATTTGGGGCAGATTTTTCCATTTGAAAGACTCCTCTTCTTTTGATGAACTGAAGGGAGACATCCTTCCATTCAGACAGAAGCTTAGTTATATATCTGAGTTTCTTTCTTGATGACGTTAAATATTCGTGACAATCAAAGCTTGTTACTGTCACATTATTGACAGTAACATATGCAAACAACCCCATAACTGATTTATGATGACAATGTGGCTCCATTCTGATTGGTTCTCAGAAGTATGTGACATCATCCTTTTCCCACTGCGCCCCGCCTACTTTAAACCAGTAAAAAAAAAATACAAGAAAAAAAATGAACATATGCAATCAGGGCCTTTAAAAGTGGACGAATCCTGTAACCAAAGCCGGAGCCATTCGACGATTAATTGGTCGCCAGAACACTTTTTCATAAACTATTGATGATTTATTAGTTGTCGTTCTTTAACTCAAAAGGCCACACATCTGATCGTCCTAGCCTCTCAAAAATGAAGACTTGATGCTTTTCCTCGTCTTTCTTCATCGTAAACTGAATATCTTTGTGTTTTTAGACTGCTGACCGGACAAAACAAGCAATTTAGAGATGTCAGCTTGAGCTGTATACAGTAGGTGTCCGTTATGCGCAGCTTTCTAACATCTTATAGACCAGGTGATTAATCAATAATAAAAGAATAATCATTGGTTGCAGCTCAACTAGTTCAACGTCTGGCATAGACTTAAGGTTAGTGTATCGCTGAGGCAAGGTTTTTAAACTCTGGTTTCCTCCCACAGTTCATTCTCTCGATGGCATAAAAGGCTTTATAAGTGTCCAGGCTGTCTTTTATGCGATGCATGCTGGGATACTCTCCAGCCCCACTGAAGCAGGTGTTGAAATTCTATTAAAAAAAGTATAAATGGGTTTTTAATTGAGGTTAGATCTGACTAAAATTGCATGTTTTCCACCCACTGATTTAGAAAGAAAAATCACTTAGTCATCGCTCTTATCCAAGAGTCACTTGAGTCACCTGCCATTAAGCAGAGGCCATCCCGGACAGAGCAGAGGAGGACGTATTGCGTTGACTTAACAATATGTATATAATTAAGCATTGTTATCCCTCGGTCACGACACTTTGGCACCTGCTGCTTTGAGAATGTTAGAGTGGATTACTCAGCTTTCTGAGAAAGACAGTGAGAAGTTCTTTCTGATAAAAAGAAATCAGAATTCTAGCCCCGACAACAACACAAAGGAGCTCTGTTATAGATTAAATTCAAGCTCCAGTGATTGCTCTAAGTGTCGTCTCAAAAGTTGGCACAGTCAGCCTTTTAATATCCAGATGGACTAGTGAGACTTTACAATACAGTATTTCATTTGAAACAACAAAAAAGAACAACAGAGCTCATGACGCAGCACTTTTTCCATCTCTGCTCGGAGAAAATGAAGAGATGGTGAAGTTTGTGTCTCCTTGCTGTGCTTCTATCCTCGCCGCGGGGTGTACTTTAAAGTGGAGCTGCTTAATGCCACCACTCCGGTGTGAGCAGGAGCCATGAGAGTGGAGCGAGAGGTCGATTAAATGAGGAGGCATGGCTTGCTGGCTGCTCAATGGTGTTATTTTGTATTTTTCTATGATTTGTTTATTTTCACCGACCATTTGGCATATAGCGCTGTCGTAATGATGTCTGCTGGAATAGAGCTCGGAGGCTGGCAGCAGACATTCACAACGACAGCCGTGACCAAAAAGAAGTAGTGGAACATGGGATTAGCTGTATATTTGGCTCGGGCCTGCTGCTAAAAAGTGGGTGCTTCTCTAAGGCAATCTCGTCTCATACCTCTGCGACTGAAGGAGGACTGTGAGCAGAATACTGAGATGTTGGCAGACCTTTGCCGGTTGGTCTGTGACCTTCACCGAAACACAATAAATGCAGAGTGAGAGCTGAAGCCAGTGGTTTGAACAGGCTGTATTGATCACATTCTGCAGGCTAAACAGAGAGGCAATGTGTGCCGGCTAGGTGGTGAGAATAAAAGACTGAGAAACTGAGTTGAAAGGAAAGACGACTGAATGGGCAAAAATAGCTGCAGGTGACTGAAAATTCAATGCAAAAGGGAGAGAGAAGCTCAGTTTGTATGAGAAGTCTAACTCAGAATGTAATGTCAGCTGATTTTAGCTCATCAGAGAAATAATGGTGTCAGCAAAACGTTTGGACAATAAATCACAACAGATTGCAGAGCGATGGCGAAGATCTGTTCTCGACGTCATTACATAGTTTGTCCACAAGAGAACAATGACATTTTTGTTTCTGCTTTTGAGTAGATGGATCACTCTGTTGGCCTTATCTTAACATGATACTGCTGGTGGTCTTCTGTACTATAAACAAATCCCACGGAAAGAACAAAACCAACAAAGTGTGTCTCTGTCCGAGTTCCGTCCCTCAGACTCAATCCCATAGGTTCCTACTGGAGATCTAAATCTTTACAATTAGAATTTATGTTTATTTTTTTCCTAAAATAGTGAGGCACTGTTATTTTTAGTGAATGTTAAACAAACCGGAAGAAAAAGCACAATTGTTGGGGTCTATTTTCAGCGCCGATTAATCCACATTTACTGCTCTAGTGAGTATTTGTGGCAGCAGGACGTTGTGTGTGGCATTGAGTCAAAGTGTTGGTGAAGGAACACGTCACCCAGTGCAACAGTGATGCTCATTGATACGTTTGTAATAGTGTTTGCACAACAATGGAGCTCTATGGCACAGAGGAGGAAGATACATCCGACTTTGGAAACACACAATACTTGTTAGAAGGGTCAACTCATTGTTGCTTTGTTGGTCATATAAAAACTGTTTAAGGTACTTTAACACTGTTGTGTTCGTAGCTCTCAGAGGACAGAACTTTATGTTGGTATAGCAGACGTCTGTTTACCTGTAAATCAGTTCAATTGTGGCGTTCCCCAAGGGCCCATTCTTGGCCCCTTGTTGTTTTCAGCTTGCACGCTTTTCGTCAAAAACGGTTTTTAGGATATTAAAAAAAGATTGGCTGTATTGTTGACAGACGTTTTGAACTCCCAAATATCGATACTAGTATAAACCCCCAAAATGCAGTATTGATCAGGCTCTGTTGGGATTATTAACAGTCACAGCGTGTCTGACAAATATTTCTGCAGTTTCCATGCGACTTGAAAACAATCAAAAGTGTCTTTTACTTTTTTTGGTTTTGTTTCACTGGCAAAATGTTTATCTTTCTCATTAAAACATTCAAAGTTCTGCAAACTATTGTAGCTCCTGCTGCACACGACACGGCAGCCAACTGGGACAGTGCAAAATCAGGTCGCCTCCGTCTGCGAAAAAGAAACGGCTAAAGTGTTCTCTCCTGGAAGGGAAACGCTATTAATATACTGTATATTTCCCAAAGTCACAGAGTTATAGAGAAGTGGAATATGTGGTTGCTTTAGGTTGACATTGACACACTTAAATTGCCCTTTCATTTCCTTTAAGGAAAAACGCGGAGCCGGCACTCCATCTCACAAGCGGACACTCTTCCACCAAAAGTTGGAAATGGTGTTGGTGAAATATTGCTTTTATTTTGTGACTTCAAAGAAGAGACACTGACTTCTAACTCCTCGTGTGTGTGCCTTGAGCTCGAGTCCGGCAAGCATAATAGGACTGGTCTGTACCTTGTGTTCAGCGCTATTGAAAAGCTAACTCCCTTGTGGCTCTAGGTGTAATTAGGATTTCCTCTCTGCCTTGTCCCCATACCTCTATGATTCAAATTGGAGCTGGAGCTAAATAAATTAGGAAGACCTTCAGGGGGATGACAGGGAGAAAAAGGAAAAAAAAGAAAGTTGGTAATTGCTCTTTTCTCATTTGTGTGATTTCTTTCCAGAGCCCTGGCAGACATTCTGAGGCAACAGGGACCAGTTCCAATATCTCAGTACGAACATGAAAACATTGCAGCGATTGATGGATCACCCGAAGATGAGACGCCGGTCAGAACCTCGAAGAATCATTACACACCCGTTCACACCAAGGCATCAAACCACGGTAGGTGACACTGCTCTGCTTTTACACAGATCAATAGCTCCGACTGTAAGTGACTTGTACAAGGCCAAATGATTTGTCTGATGTAGCTTCCACTATATAAATACAACTTTATGTTATTACGATGGTAAAGCTTAAGTATCGTAAAGAAAGACCCGATTCGCTCTCCCTAATCTGCCACAACATTCTTTGATTGACATCCACTGAAATAGATGGACCTTGAATCTTAAGCTTTTCCCCCTCAATCTTTGTAAAGACGAAACACATCAGGAAATACACACAGAATTAAATGCAAGGCCCTGGCTCCTTACGCTGCGGTTCCCATAAGCCTACTCGGCATTGGCTCAAAATTGAGACGCAAATTATCATCTTCTGCGGGAGACGCAAGCTTTTTGTCCAGAGATAATTCTTTCGTACGACGCCGTTCCTCCTACTTTTATCCGGTCGGTCTCCAGATCCCTGCTCCAGGGATCAGCTCGTTTGCTAAGTGCCCTAGTATGGTGTCCCAGATTCAACAGTGTTGTGTTTCACTCTGGTGTCACCCTGCCTCCACCCTCCTCTCCACCGCCGCCACCACCACACGTGTCAGAAGAGAGCTGATACAGACTGTACTGAACTGCACGGTGTGAGCAACGTTTCTGCAGCATTTTGAATATGTTCTCGTTCTACCAAAGACAAGTAGATTACTCCACGCTTGGTCACCAATCCGGTTTTAAATAATCTTCTGTTTGTATTATGTCTGCGATATTTAAAGTATCATCTTTCTTATATAAATCAGGTCTGCTTTTCTGCTGAAAACCGCTGATGTTTTCTGCTTTGCAGAGTTTTAAAAGATCAATGAAAATTGGGAGGAAATTTTGAGAATTTGCTTTTGAGCGTTTTAACCAAACCACTGAGTTTATCTTTAACAAACCACGATGTATTCATCAAGGTGAAAGCTCAGTTTTGCCAGAATCTCTTTCATACAACAGCAATTTAGCCTTCAATATTAATGGGATTTACGATAGTTAAGAAAGTCCAGGAATCAAGAAAGTTCATGTTTGTTTGCAATAAACAGAAGAAGTAAAATCACCAAGGCTGAACATACAAAAGGAGCCACCATGAATGGATTATCAACCGGGCAAACGGTCCACCGCACCAGGGTCCCAGACCTGGTCCACCAAACACTTTAAGTCGGTGTTAATTTAAGTCATTGCAAATTTGTTTGATAATCCTGCATGCACCACTAAAGCACGTTATGAATTAAGATGATATGCAACACCTGCGGTAATACTTGTTGTAAAGGTCCCATCTTGTAGGTGAGTTTTGGGGTCTAAATGATTTTGAACGCAAACACTGAGTTGAAATTGTGCTCGATCATCATATTCTACAGACTCAAGGAAACATCCTTGTTGTGTCCAGATCGACGCAAAAATAACACGTCAATGTTTTTCAATGAAAATGAGAATAATGCCGTAAAAATTATCATTCAATATCGCAACTGCAAAATCAGCCACCATTGGATATCTTTCAAGATCATTCAACCATAGTCAGCATTTCTGGGAAAGGCAAATGCAGAAACATCAAAGCATTGAATGTTCTGCAACAAAATCTAAATTCCATCCCCTCCGAATCATCCACATGAAACCTTGTACTAAAGACATTTATTACTCTTCTTTGTCCAGTGTTGAGCTGGAATCGGTCTTTATTTATTTACTGGTACTGGCTCATGTTGGTGGAGTGCTGTATTATTTCTATCAGCAGCAGCACAAGTGTCTAAACTTTAAGCACATACAGTATCTGAGGAGATATGGGACACAGAGAGAGGAACAGGCTTTATGGCCATTTCGATTTTTATTAATAGTACTTTGACCTGGTGCAAATTTCTGTGCAATCATAATTATTAAACGTGATGTGTTGCTCATTGTAGTGCCGTGAGCGTAAGCAAATATCTGTGATTCACAAAGCCACACATCATTTAGTATGAAGCGCCCACAGAAAAGATGTCTTGATCGTCCGACCTGTGTCATATCAGCCTGTGTGAGCGGGACGTGACACTGTTCGGGTGAGTGCTTTTGACGGGAGGGTGTCCAAGCGGAGATGGAGGCACTCCAGGGAAGACGTGACTCCGATTTATGACAAATTCATGACAGTGATGTGAATTTAAAACAGAAGATGGCTCTGTTCTGTCTTCAGTGTGGAAATGATCAAAGCTCATTATATTTTTATGGTGGATTCTGGACGTTGTTAAAGCCGTTGTTGGGCTTCTTTTCGTAGATTTTAGTGTTACTACTGACATTTTCCAGGATGAGCCCTTATGCGCTGGGACACACTGTTACTACTAAAGTACAGTATGCCAATGTGAATATGTAATCAGGTATGACAGAGGTCCGAGGTCTAAATATGTAAATTTGATTTCACACCTTCAGAATTTACTTTGGTTTTCAATGAATAGAAAGGTTAGGTGAGTAAAAGGGTTGAATTAAAAAAAATAAACATTTCCAATCAATATTGCATGTTTAACCCATTTGTGAGTTCACCACACTGGAAACAGCGGAACAAATTCTCCTTTCATGATGTTTCCCACTGAGGTGAGAAAGATAAATGTTCCATTATCCACATCTGGTTTTATAAGAGGTCCTTTATGAGATTGGTTGGTCTGAAACCATCTCCTGGGCCACAGATCAGTTAATGAGTGAAGAGGATAATGATGGATTTGTTTTTATGTAGCAGCAACAAGGAGGATAAATAATTGCTGCTGTCAGAAGCCACACTCAGTTGGTGTCCTGTATAGTGTGAAGCTTATTCCCTCTTTTAAATCCTATTTATTACTGCTCTTATATGCCCTCAGTGACAAAAAAAAAAAAAGGTGTCCTTAAAATACTAATTCAACAAAGACACTTTTATTGCATTTCTTCCAAATAGGAAAGTATTAACCTCGAGGGGGAAACAATAAAGAGACGCTAATGACAATGCAATGGTGGATATCTGGATTTAAAATCAAAAACATCAGCAATGTATGATGTAAACTTCTCCCACTCGATGTTCCAGAAGAGTTATTATACCGAGATGAGATGCCGTTGTCTGTGGATGGTACTTCTCCAGGACTGTCCTTGAGTGGGCATTACCACTTCAATTTCCCAGAGTTCTGTTCTCTCATTTCGTTTTCTGCTCTAAAGTTTCGATGATGCTGTAAAACAAATAGGCGACAAATGTCTCCCACACTTTGCAGACAGAATGGACTCATCTCTGCAGGACACTGGGAGCAGCTGGTTCATTCGGGGTTTTAAAACCCCGCAGAAGTTGACTGACTATAAAATGACACGAGACAAACTTCGGAATGATATTTGGAAAGAATGATGTCATATTGCTGATGATAGTGAGTCTGGGTGTCTCAGTCTTCCTGTAAAGTCACGATTACAGACAAGTTCATTAAGGGTAGAACGGTTCTGGGGTCTCGGTTTGTTTTGGGTTCAGCAGAGAAAATAATAATAATGATTCATCATTTTTTTAAATTCAAAAAGTGAAGAAATAATAAAAACACAAACAATAAAGCTGTAAAAGTCATTTCTTTATGGACTTGGCTTCATACATGGATGCAGTTTTATATCGAAACAGGAAAGTAACTTCCCCAAAAATTTGCCTCTTTAGCATTAAAGAGAATAGTTCAACATTTTGTACGGATGATGCATTGCAAACAGTTCTTCCCATTGGTTGGAGCCAGGCTTGTTTTTTTGAAAACCTATTCGTGATTTAACGTAAATCACAATGCACATTATTGTATGGGCTGGATTTGTGCTGTCCACATCCGAGTCAAATATGCACAAAAACAATGATTTCAACAGTCTGGATGTTTGATACGACCATTCCATCTTCCGATGAACACGACGAAATGTGGTGGAAAGTTGAGTTCGTAGACCTTAAGTTAACAGTAAAGTGATTTAGGATTAACCCACATTATATGACCCCCTTTGACATGAATGTGCACACTTGAGTCACTCATTTGAAAACTCTTCATTTTCCTCTGAAGGCAGAGTCAAATCGAAGTTTGTAAATTTCACTTTTATCCAGAGATTTGAGTTTTTATCTCTGAAATAAAACACTTCGCATTCATTTATAAATGTGTGATGAAAACTTTAATAGAATGGTTATTCCCCAACAGAAAAAGTTAGATCCGTCCACATTATGCAGCGTCGATAAGGCAATTTTGAGGAACATTTCCGGAGATAATAAGCAGCTATATGTTTGTACTGCCACATGGGAGCAATTCATATCACAGTCAGCGTCTCCAGCTACCTGATTCCAGCTCCACGGTGTCGTCCTTGGAGCATATAGAGGTGAATCATCTCTGCGTTTCCCCCCCGGGAGACATCACACACACACACATATATACACTACTGCATCATTGGCATAGACACAACAGTGTGCTGTTAAAAATCACAAGATGCAGGGAAATACGTTTATTCCTTTTCTTTTCATATTTGCGGGATTTCTTCCAAGGTCCCACATTAACGGAGCGTGCGTCAGTAACTAGTTAATATTCTCCCTCTGGGTTTGATGAAAAGAAACAAATGGGCCGCGGTTCTCGGGCTTGAGTGCCAAACCTTGGTGTGATGAAGACCAGGCCTAAAGGTCCCAGGTGTTTCTTTTCATTATGATAATTTGAAATGCTGTTCGATATTGGCTTCCCGAGGGCCAAAGGTCTGAGTGATGTTATTAGCTTTGAAGTGGTTCCCTTGGAGAAAGAGGCATTTAACTGTTCGCCAGTTAATGTGGAGAGGGGAGAGAGGAGAGGTTTGATGAACTAAGTTTTTTGTCTGTATGTTTTCTGTTCTTTTTTTGCTGTTTTCGTCGACACTACATTCTTTTATTCCTTCTCAAGACTTGTCTGGGATTGACAGGGCAATTGAAAGGTGTCGGGGTGCTAGCAGGCACCTCGTCTTGCTGCTTTGTGTTCAGGACAGACTCTCAATTACAGCACTGGTGCAGAGGAGAGTTAACAGTGATGTGGTACAAATTGCATTACGGAGTGGTCTTTTAACACGGGGGAAATCCAACAAGGGTGTATACCTGAGGTGTGTGCTATCCTCGGAGAAGGGTAACGTAAATCCCTTCTAAAATCAAGTGTATCAATCATCTTGCCTCTAAGAAGCCAAAAGCATTGCGGTTTTATTTTTCAATCAAATGTAATATTTCACTCACTGTGGAGAAAGCCCTGAGACCTGCAGACTGCATCTTTGGCATCTTTGAGCAATATTGACAAGCTGCTGATCCCTCCCTAGAGTTGGTTTCATCAGTTGTGCCATTTTAGCCCTGTTTAGTATTCTTGTCATCTACGGCTGGTCTGTTGTAAAATGGCAGATATTTCTGAGGAAATTGAATACAGACACTCGTCAGTATTAAGGCCCACGGAACGGCCACGATCGATGGATTTGCTCGTGGGAGCGACGTGCTGTAAATCCATCTGTTCACAACACAGTCGCTACAATAAAACATTGGCGTTGTACGTGTCTGCAAACCAAAGCTACGCTGAACCTCGAAGTTTCTGAACCAAACACTACGCTTCATATAAACATTTCTGCACATTTACATCAACGTTGTAATGTTTCAACAGCTTGTGGTGCTTTAGCCGTTGAGAAAAACTCTTAAGCGTTGAGCCACCGTTAAAGCGGCACATGTCACAGAATTTTAAACTCAGTGACTGGATGTGTCTGATGTGCTGAAATGCACCTTGGGAGTTGTTGTCAACATCTGGGAGTAAACGGCCCACTACAGAGAAAATTCAAAGAATGTCACTGCTTTCTGATGAGCTAGCACCGACATGTTTCTATGTTGCTAGCTAGTTAGCTTGCTATTATTCTACTTCACCAACTAGTAACACCTATTTCACAAGGATGGATTTCACTGCACCACATTCTGACGTGACCTTTAGGCAAAGAGAACACCAAGCCCCACTTTTTGCTGAAATATTAATTTCCCACAATCGTTTATCCCACCAGGGCACTATGGGAAAGAAAACCTGCGCGGCGGAGGCCAAGACATGCACAACTTCATCTCTTCTGGGTTTGTGACACTCGGACGAGGCCACTTGAAAGGTAAAGTCCGTCCTCGTTAAGTGGTTTTCTCTTCACAGGATCCTGAAGTTCAGAATAACAATCGTTTCCCTCACAGAGCCACTGTGACATGCTGTCGTTCTCTTTCTGCCAAATAATAAAGTGACTGTGACTTTAGTTTCAGCTCAGTGAAAGTTGGACATGACAATACATAATGGCTTGAAGTGACATCTTGCAAAAGTCCACACAAACATTTATTATCTGTGATTAAATCCACACTTCCACTGACAAACTAACACTTCCCGCCAGTGTGAACGCAGCATGGCACAGTAGTACATTTCCCGGCTATTGTCCTCCTTTGGAGTTTTAATGAATCCGAAGCAGTGTTGGAGCGAGAATGAGCTGTAAACAAGCGGCCCGTTGTTGTTGTGTTTTTGTTTTTACAGCGCAGCACTCTATAGACGAATCGGGGCAGATGTCCTGGCAGGGCGATATGGACATCCCTCTCTCCTACGGTACGTTCCACAAATGTTCCGCTTTCTGCTGGAGAACCGGCTCTCTGTTCGCACCCGATAGGAAAAGTCACTCACACTTCAACACACACCGACCAGCCGAGCGCCCTTGGCTGATAATCACAGAGCAGTCATTCGGTGCCAAAAGTCGTAATATATATTTTTTATTTTTTATTTTTTCCTGTTGGTGGTTTTGTGAGCCAAAATGTTTCCACTGATGATTGTTTGTCAGCAGGTTTGAATGAGTGCCGTACAGTTTATCTGCATGGCTTTTATGAACAGATGAGGGTGTCAAAACAAACAGTGTTAATCTTGATAGCTGATAAACTCTTCTTAGGTGTCTGCAAGGTAAGTGAAAGTTTGATTTAAACACTCAACTTGAAGCATTTAGCTCTGCTGGAGTGACCATGCCAGTGGGGGTTTTGCTCTGTATCACTCACAGTGTTAGCTTGATGTTGATGTCTATTTCCTTGATGATATTTGAGGGCAGTGTATGTGTACCGTTACGTTTTCTTCACGGTTTGAAATCATTTTATTAAAGCTGAATACATGAGCCGATCGATCCAAATGCTGGAGGTCCTGATTCACAACTACTGACTGTATATAGGAAGTGGACGTAGGCAATGTGATGTCACCCATCGGTTTGTGGACTTCTGGTTTTGAAGCCTTGAGTTCGGCATTTCGGCTGTTGCCATCTTGGTTTTTGGTCACCGCCATCTTGCTTTTGCAACCAGGTAGAGACATGAAAGGGTGGAGCTAAGTACAACCGAACTCTAACAAGACATTTTTAGGCGGAAAAAATGTTACAATTAACTTTCATGAAGTGAAAACACAATGTGAAAGGATTAAAGTTGATTAAACGAAAACAGACAACTCGCAGACCGGACAACCATGGTAACGACCTGTCAATCACCGTGTTGCCCCGCCCTAAAGCATCCCCTGCTTTATGGTCTGTTTGACTCTAAATGGACCATAATGTACTAAATGAACATCATGCTGTATTGAAGAAGACTTGAAACTAGAGATTGAGACCATAAACTCATGTTTACAATGTTTACTGAGGTAATAAATCAAGAGAGAAGTAGAGTCATTTTCTCATAGACTTCTATACAACCAGAGGAGTCGCCCCCTGGTGGACACTAGAGATAATGCAGCTTTAAGACACTTAAAACTGAAGGCTGCTGTCTGACACCAACTAATACACTGATGAGCTTATATTATCGTTATAATATGAATTCATGTTTTCAACAACTTAAATGATCAGGACATGTTTTGATCCTTGTTGAACTTCATAAACACGCCGTCCACCTGCAATTGAAGTGATAAAAACAAATATTTCTGACTGGTTTTGACTTCTCTCGGGTCTCTTATTGGAAAAAATAGATGCTTGTCATTTTTGTGTAGCTTCTCCATGGGTCTGTTTCAGATCAGATCCAATAGTTTCTAAAGTTAATGTACTGTTGCTGCTGTAAGTGACATAGATACCCAGAGAACGCTGTGCCAAATGGTATTTCTTCTCACGAGGTGTATTTTATTGAACCAATGATTTTAACATGACAGCTTTATTTTAGAGTGTGATTTACAGCGACGATCGTTGCGAGTAGAAGTTTTGCAATCGAAATGGGTTTGCTAGATCACAAAATATGTCTGGTGTTGCTGAAAAGGAAAAAAGCCTTTCTTCAACTTGCTCCATGCGTTTTTATCCATCAATCCTCTCTGCCAGTGCTTTAGTAGTTTTACACAAGCATCTCAAACACAGCTCTTCTTGTAGGATCCCCGAAGCCTCTACTCCCCGACGTTTAGTCACATTGACTTGTGTGTGTCGGCTTTGTTGCTATATTCTATATCAAATATATTCTATATATATATATATATATATATATATATATATATATATATATATATATGTCCACCTCAAGACACCAAATAAGTGTGTTCTTCATTGATTATTTGCAGAAGACTTCTTAAAAATCTGCTTAAATGTGGATGAAATTAAAAGATTTATATTGCTATTTTTCAATGTGATTGAAAGTTTACAACCAGTTTAATTGAGGACCAAAAAAACCAAAACCATGCATCAAGAAAAGGAGGATGTATAATTAACTTTGTATAATTATCTGTTTCTCAAGTTGTTAAGTGGCCCTTTGAGACCGTTATGAGGCAAATCTGAGGACACCTATCTTCCTAAAATGACCCGCTTTGCTGATGATGAAATGACTGACATTTGCTGTTGCTGACATGTTAAAATGACTCAACCCTGAAGATAAATGACTATCACACGCTGAAGAAAGGCAAAACTGTATTTCATCCCCCTGCTCAAAACAGAAATACATACAGAAACTCTCGTACATACAGAAACTCTCGTACTCGCTGGATTAATCTCAAGAATTAAAATAAACAGAATTCCCCATTTTCAAAAGCAGCAAGGAAGACTAGTCGATGACTTGGCTGTGGTGAGACTTGGGTTATAACACGTATATATTCGTGAGGACTAAATGGTGTTCAAACGGCCTCAAGCAAAGACCAATATTTCAAAAAGGCGCCCGAGGCAGCGACCCTCTTCTTCTGACTGTACCCGTCACCCTCTCGCTGCACCTATTAGGGGCCACGCTTTAGTGGCCCGATGGCGACTTACATGTCTTAGTTTAACAGCTGGCCCACGCACACACACACACACACACACACACACACCTCCTGTTAGGGTTGAAGCAGACTGACAGATGTGCACCGTGTCACCGCTGACTGAATCCAGCGCTGCTGTACAGGCGCCTCGTGTCTCCTGTGGATAACGTCTATATCTGCACAGGTCATGTGACTCACCTGCTCCCTCTAGGTTCGTCACTCTGCTTTTATGTGAAGAGCAGGACACTGGTTAACTGCTGGACGATTGATTAAACGTCTAAGTACTATTTTTGAGGTCATGTTTTAAAGATTTTGTGGGAAATATTGCACTTTGTAGACACTTTGTTGCATCTTTACTTCTTTTTTTCCTTCCACTCGCTACGTATATCTGACGGCCGACAACTTCTATTTCAGGCCGTTCCTTCTTTCTTGTCCCATCTTCTTTTGCTTCATTCTTTGCTTTTCCTTCTCCCCTCTTGCATTCTTTTACTTCGTACCATCCTTTCCTTCCTTCGCGTCCTCTCCTTTCTTTGCTTCATCACCTTCTTGCATGGTTCCTTCTTTCTTTTTTCCTTACATACTTTCCAGGCTAGGCTATGCATTCCATCCTTTTTCCTTCCTTCCTTACTCTCTTCCCTTCATTTCATCCTTGATTCCTACTGTTTTCTTTTTTTACAGCAAAACAGACTAAACCGTGAATAAATCAGCACTTTAATTTGGTGCAGAAGTGCCTTTTACGTCTGACATTTGTTGATTAAATATTAGAATTCATGACCTGGATTTGTGAAAGGGTATTTCCATATTGTGGCACATGTTCTTACATAAAAAGCTTTGAGTAGCAGCTTGTTCCGTCTGCTCTTATTTGCATTTCAGAGGTTCGGCGCTTTAGACAAACAAAACGTTTGCAATAGTTCCTTTAAAATCCACAGTTTTCGAAGACAAAGCACGTCTGAGCGCGAGCGGCTCCGACCTCAAACTCAACTGCGTGTGTAACATTTCATTGTTTGCGTGGGAGCGTCGTAGTGAAAAAGGAAAGGGCAAAAACAGTACCGATTCACATGCACGTCAGAGGTACACAAGTTGCTAAACAAAGCTCCGAGTAATGTCATTAATATTCATGCATCCGTGATATCCTGTTCCACCTGCTACAGTGTGTGAGGCAGCGAATATACGTCTGATACCGGTGAGTGTTGGGGGACCGCGGTGCGTTCGCTGGCCCCGGCTGTCCCTCCATGTTTTCCCTGTGATGGATTGTCTGTCGTGACGCTCTGGACCACAGCGATGTATGCTGACGGAAGGCGAGCGTCTGTCTCACAGGAGACCTTCAAACGGAATGAGACGCCTAATGCTGGATGAGAAAACTGTGATCTAAAGTGGTTTGAGATGCTTGAGATTCATATCTCGCCGACTGATTTGGGGAAGAATGGAAGAATTATTTTCCTCACAAACCCCTGCATGTTCTGCATCTTTTACCCGGGCCGAGATTTTTCCTTGAGGTCAACCAAGAGGTTTTAAAAACAGAGCCAAACCCTTTTCATGAAGGTTTACAAGAACTAGTTTTTAAAAAGCATGTTTTACAGATAGACTGTATAGAAGTGGACGTTTTCATACGTCTCTGGTAGAGACCTGTCAATCACCGTTCGATCTCCGCTAGTTGCATGTCCATGTATCCTTGAGCAAGACACTTAACCCCACAACTTTTAATTAAAATCTAAAACATTAGAAAGGTGTTCAGTTAACAATCACATAACGCAGAGGAAAGCCAACCCTCACATTTGAGAAGTTGATATTGTGATTTAGTTGATTAAGGAAAAGATTTTTAAAAACAAGCACACAAACGTCCGAGGTTACACGATCCTGTTGTGTGCATTTAGCGAACATCTTCCCAGATTTCCCAGATAAGTTGTGCACAAACATTCCCCCTCGTCCTCGGGGCTTATTTATCTCCCCCCTCACCTTCTCCGCCTGTGGCATCCACTGATGTGCATCCTGCTTAATTACTTTTTCAAGAGTTGCTCCCTCTTTTCGTCCTGAAGGAATTGCTTCCCCCCCCTCTCATCCCAATTCACTTGAGGTGACCTTGCCTTTTTTGGGACGCATTGCTGCAGTGCTCCCAGCTCCCCGCGCTGTAATCCCTGCAGGCCGACAGTGTGTCTGTGCACGGCTGCGTAGCTGAGCGTGAGTGCGAATGGAGGGGGAGTCACAGCGCGCCAAGTAGGCATCACTTGCCCAGGTCGCCTCCATTACCGAGTCCTTATACGTCCCCCTGTCTTTAAAGCCAGTGGCTCTGAGCTCGAGCAGGCGGTGACTGGAAACTTTCAACTTGAGAGTCGCAGATCGATAAACCAATGCAATGTGACATCATCAGAACGCTGCACAAC